GGCCTTGGAACTGAGCTGAATTCTGCTGAGTCCTGTGAATTATAAACCCACCACCTGGGACTTCCTTTTAAAAGAGGGCAGCCCAGAATCATTTGCATGCTGCCAGTCATGCTGGTCATATTGGGAAGTCACAGGTAGAAATGACATAAAGAGGAGTGGACTTAAGCAGAATAGCACTGCAACATGCTCTAAGTCAGTCAACCCAGAACACAATCAGGCTCAGATCTTCTGTGCTCTTCAAAGAGAAGCTGAGCAGAGCGTTCATCATCCTGAACATTGTTCCTCAATGCAAACATTCCCTTGTTCTTTGAATGTACAATATATTGCCTTTTTTCAATACTGGTGAGTACAGGTGATAATCCTATGTAGCAAAAATTCTCTACATGCATTCCTTTGGGAGTAGTCCTGAATACTCTGCATACTGAAGTTATGAGATTGTGTAGCTGATGAATTCTCCTGCCATGACAAACACACTCTTTTTTGCCAGCGACAAAATTCATGATGCAGCATTCAACTTTCAATCAAAATTTGACCTTCACAGAATTTGCAGTTCATATTTTATACTAAGTCTTTGCGGAAAGGCATGCAAGTTTGTGAACATAGTACACATTGCAGTAAGAAAACTAATTCTAACATTTTCAGTATCAGTGATTAGTGAAGTGTATACAATCACACTGCTACATAGTTTGTGTAAAGGAGAGAGAATGTACATAAAACGTATATGTGAATCTTTACTATTTGTTTTAGCTACAGCAGCTAAATTCAGTACAACCAACAAAGTGTTTGGGGAGTTCGTCAACATTCATTCTGGATGAAAATTAATGTGGAACTAAGAATTAAGCAAAATCACAACTGAGAGATAAATCCTTTTGCACATGGGCAACCAATGAAGTGGGGTACTCTGCATTTCCGTGTAGGAAAAGAAATTGAAATATTCAGCTAACGGGGAAGAAATGTTCAGTCCTTCCTGAAAGGAAGGACAAGGCTGTACATTCTGTTGAATTTATGTAAGTTAATGGGAGTGGCAAGGGCATCTTGGTGCAAGACTGAGGAATGGGCTCCAGGCAGGCTACCTTGAATTCTGTCTTCTAATGGATGGGAATTTTGGATGGAATCTACCATTGACCCTTCATGAGACTGCACCACTCCCAGCAAATGTGAATAGTTAACTGGCCCCAAAATTGGAGCCAGCCCTGTGCTTCCCCAGCCCACAGATGCATGTTTGGGCAAGTTTAAAGCACCACCCACAAGGAAACCATGAAAGCAAAAAGAAGAGCAAGAGGTTAAGGAGTGGATCATTAATTGTTTCATCTTGCAGGTGCAAGACATTTCCATACTTCCTGTGGCAAAAGGAGGTTGTTCCTCTTCACTGACATCTTAATTTTTTTGTATTAAGTATTTTACAGAATTAAATGAGCCATGGAGCGTGTGCACCACCACCAGGTGATTTGTTTGACAATCCACACAATAGTATTGGTGGCCAAACCAAAAAGTATTTCGGTGTTATTTCTGCTGATGTCAAAGCACCCTGGACAGGTCTCTGAGGAACTAGAAGTACATTTGTCACTGAAATTTCCCTCTTCAACTGTGTGTGTTCTATGCTGCATATGTGGGGGAAAGATGTGTGTTAATTTATGTGTGTGCTTAGATGATAAATACACATCCAAATCGTGTCCATCAGATTCTTGGAACCTGAACTCTGCAACCCATTTCATGCTTCAAGGGATTCTTCACAGCAGCTGCAGAAAATACGGGTTGCCATTTCCTGTGTTCTGGAACTGAATCCTGAAATCCAGTCCAAAAACATGTGCCCAGTGGCTGTTAGGCACTTCAGAGCCCTTCTCTGGACACGAGGTGGCTAGCAATCCTCTGTCCTGAACTCTACCTCATTAAGTGAGGAAAAGCATTGCACTTTTCTTCATTTGCCATTGTGGCCAGGGGAAGAGAGAGGCAGAAAACCCCTGTGTTTTGAGATCTGGAGCACATACAGACACATGATTACTGCCTTCAGTTTCAATTTGGTGGAAAGAGTGGTTTTTATACTTCATCTGTATTGATTTGTTCAATGTGTCCCTTGCACAAGATTATGTGGATCTGTCTTTGGGCTTCCTGCCATTGAGTTGCAGGAAGACATGATTTTTTGTGGGGTCTGTGATGATACAGATCAAATGTTAGGGAACAATATCATAGGCATTGCTTCCCCCACCCCAGATAATTCCAAAGTACTCTAGTCTCTTTCCTCGGAATTGGCAGAACCAGTGCTTAGGACAGGATCTCCAGACGTGATAGTGGTCAGAGGTAGAAGTGGGCACTAGAGAATGTCTTGTTTTCTTCACTCCACCACCAGATTCTGTAAGGGTAATCTGGGAGGAAATGCCTGCAAGAGGAAAATACAAACACGAATAAGTATAACAATAGTAATGAGAATAACAACAGGAATCAGGAATATATTATAGAGTAACGTCATTGGATTGGCTCCTTAAGGGAAAAAAGGAGTTTTTCTAACATGCAGGGAAGGTTATCAATAAATTGATCAAGAACTTTAGCTCCTTGAGTGACTGCTGGCCACAGTTCTCAGGATCTGAAGGCTTTTGGGTTCTATTGATGCCTTTGGATTCTCTACCGTCATCCCTCTCCTTCTCTTTAAGGAGGCCACCTCATGAACTTTGGTATGCTGACAGAGAGGGCAAAGTAAAAGAAAACAACAAACCCTAACTTAACAAGGAGAAAACATACATGGCTTCAGCTCAGAACAACCCCACATTTTTTTCTACCCAATCCTTTTACAGGGAGGCTTGTGAGAGGGCTTCCAAAGTCTTCCTGCAT